CAGCTATGTGCCCTGACTGGGCATCAAACCGGCCCCTCTCAGTCTATGGGACTGATACTGAGCTACACCAGCTGGGCAACTATTTTTAAATGAACAATTTAATGCCAATCAATACATTCACAATGTTGTACAATCACTGCCTTTATCTAGTTGCAAAGCATATTCGTCACCTCCAAAAGAAACCCCATACACATTAAGCAGTTGCTTCTCAGTCCCTCTCCTTAAACCCTTGAAAATCACCAATTTCTGTTCTGTTTCTATAGATTTACCTGTTCTGAATATTTCATGTAAACAGAATCATATACTATGTGACCTTTTGTGTCTGGCTTCTTTCAATTAGCATGATGTTTCAATAGTCATCTGTCAGTACTTTATTTTTTCATCATTGTGTACTATTCCAGTGTATGCATATCACACTTTGTTTATCCATTCATCTATTGTTGAACATTTTGGCTAGTTCTGCCTTTGGCTACTGAGAATAGTGCTCCTTTAAACATATATGTACATATATTTGTTTGAGCACCTGTTTTCAATTCTTTTGGTTATATAAGAACAGAACTCCTGAGTCATATGGTAGTTCTATGTTTAACTTTTTGAGGAACTGCAAAAGTTTTCCACAGCAGCTGAATCATTTTACATATCCACCAGCAATGTATGAGGGCTCTAATTTCTCCACATTCTCACCGACATTTGTTATTTTTACTGTTGTTTGATAATAGTCATCTTAGTGAGTGTGAAGTGTTTCTTCACTGTGGTTTTTGTTTGCATTTCTCTAATAACTAATGCATTTGAACATCTTCACCCATTCTTTCTTGCTGTCATGTTATGTTATTTTTGTTTGTTCATGATTATTTTAAAGGGAGAAAGAGTGGTGAACACAGAGGCATGCCACCTGAACTCCCTTTCAATGAAAGCCTTCTTGTCCCAGTTGCTGAGAGGACTCCCCGTTAGGGCTGTCTGCCCCTTCAGGGCTTACCTCAGCTGCAGAGAGCTAACTGTCCCAAGATTAGACCCATCCTAGTGTAGCCATGTTTAATGACTTACCAAGGTGATATATAAATATCTCGCCATCTCAGCATAACTCGAGACAACTCTGAAGGGCTACTACTCTAGCTCTAGACTGCCCCATGAGGTTAGCCAAGTCCTGTATCATAGCTTGTCTGACCTGTCTGTCCAGTCTTGCTCCCTTCTTAGCCATTCCATTGATATTTCTCCAAAGAGCACTCCTCAGTAAACATCCTTCTGCACACTTAATTCTGTTTTTGTGTCAGCCTTCTGATGAACCCAATTCATAAGAGACCATAAATGCATATGTCTGGTTCATTGACTTGAACTGGAAATGGTACAAATCATTATTTCTTTAATTTTCCAGAAATGTATTTAATATTTGCTCATATATGTTTTTATATGGCAAGATTAGGACTGTTTACTTTTGATGTCCTTCTTAAATCTCATGTAAGCTCTGAGCTACAGAGCAGTGACAGTCTTGAAACATCAGAGGCCTGATTTATGATGCTTTCAGCCAAATATTTTAGTTTTCAGTGAAATTAAGCTACTCCCTTAAAAATTGCTCAGTGAATCAAAGGTACTATGTGAATGCACCTGATATTTAGAAAAATGTTTCACTTTCTTGTTGATTGGGGTGTTTAAGTACTTTGAAAATATTATCTTTGAAATTTCAATAGTGGGAGTTATTCAAATCTGGGGTGTCTATAGCAATCACCATGCTTTGTGTTCCTTAAATTGGATTATGTGTCCAAAAAGTCAGTATTCAGCTTTCGATTTCACTTCTCCTGCATCATCATATCCCTCTACTTCTGCATTTTACCTTTTAAACCCTTCTGGTTGCCCTGAAGGTTCAAGTCAGCCATGTCTGTGGCTTCTTGGGCTTTGTCAGAAACTTGAAGATCCCCCTTTCCCTCAACTTTTTCTTTGATTATGGCTATAGCTAGATTGAGGAAAGAGAAGCCATCTTCTCTCTGCAGAATTATATAGCATTACATACCCCGAGGGAGCTTGTGGGTTAGTCTTAATGGGTATAGTTTCTGTGGAACAATTCAAATCTGTTCTCATGGACTCTTTTATGGCATCAGTGCTTTCATAATCGTAATAAACCATTTCTACATCTACTTGAGTTTTTTTGAGTCACCCTAGGAAGGGATCTGACCTGGGGTAAAATGTCTATTCATGTTATGAATGAGTAGTAATGTGTTCATTTTCTATTGCTGTGTAACAAGTTACTACAAATTTAACAGCTTTAAACAACACACATTATTAGTTCAGTTTTGTGGGCCAAGAATCCAGGCACAGCTTAGCTGGATCCTTCGCTCAGGGACTCACAAGGCTGCAGTTGAACTGTTGGCCAGGCTACATTCATTTCTGGAGTTTGAAGTCTTCTGCCAAGCCCACGTGGTTGTTGGCTGAATCCATTTCCTTCTGGTTGTAGGACTGAGTTCTTGGCTTCTTACTGGCTGTTCACCAGAGGCTGCCTTTAGGTGCTTTAGGCCACCCATAGTTCCCTGCCATGTGGCTCTCTCTTTGAGCAATTATAATATGACTTTTTAGTGATCAGAAAGAGGACCTATCTAGTGTTTGCTAGAAAGATGAACTCATATCTCCATCATCCTGTCTCACCTTCACCATATTCTATTGGTTAGAAGCACATATTCCACCCACACTCTAAGGGAGGGGGTTATGCATGGGTGTGGCTCATTTGGGCTCATCTTAGGTTGTATCTGTCACAGCTGTCAATGAATACTAGCTGTTTACCTGTATTCAAATCTAAATTCTCCCAGAAAGATACAGATGAAATTGCATGTCTGGTTTCTCATCTCACATATCTGTCATTAGAGGCCTTGCTGTTGTTCAGAACAGGCTTTCCAGCTGTCCCTTCATGGTGGACTTGAATACCTCAACAATATGTCAGAGGTGCTTGAATCAGTGTTGGATTGGGTGAATATGTTTTTACATCATTGCTTCTTCTAGGGAAAACTCTTTTTGACAAATCAAAAGTCCACCTGTGTTACAGTAATCAAGTTATACTTCTGCCCCTCCTTCTCACAGACTGTGCACTTCTGGAGGAGGGTTGCAGTCAAGGACTAGTCTGCCTCCTTAATTCTAATGTAGTCCCCTGCTTCTATCCCTGGACCTGGATAGAATGGTACTCAGTGCAGAAAATAACTGCAGACATTTTAAAGGCAGAACAGTATGTGACTTTTGCCTCATTCTCTACTTTGGTCAACCGGGGGTATACCGAATTATTTTTTCTTAATGGATTTTTGATTAGGACGAGTATATAATTAGGTTAGTTTACAAGCTCATAGGAGGCACCTATTGCTATGAGGAGGTATTATATATGTCAAGGAAAAAGAAAATAAGAGTAAGAACAATTTTCTAAACATCCACTGGTGTCCTTATTGACATTGGGCTCAGACTTTCCTGAGACATGAGGCCATAATTTTGGTAGAGAAAGGGCAAGACTCTGAGCCCACCAATACAGGATGAGGAGGGACAGCTGAGGGGCCACCTGAAGCCTAGCAGCTTGGGCCCTTGGCTGGGGCTGCCCACCCTGAGCGGCTCAGTGTGCCTGGGGATAGCAGATAGAAGCTGGCCCTTTCCAGCAGGACACCAGCCAGGCTCCAGTGTGAACAGCTGCCCATACTGAGGCCTGAAGAAACAGCAAAGCAGGCGCAGCAGCAGTGGTAGCAGGCCACAGGTGATGACCATGCTCTGCCTACAGCTTGATGAGGCACACCTCTCATGGAGAGCCACCTTGCTTTTCTACTTCCTGGCTGTGTGTCCTTGATCAAGTGATTCAGCCTCTTTGAGTTTAATTTCTGGATTTGTAAAATGGGAATGATAGCAGCATCTACCTCACAGCTTGCTGTGGAGAGAAAATTAGTATATTGCCTGGGTCATAGGAAGCCCCCAATAACATATTAATATGTATGCATTTCTTAATGCAGAAAGGATCTCCAATATGCTTGGCATTGTGTTAGGTTATGTCACTGGGGAGTTGTGGTGGGTCACAGGGAGGATAGGGACTGTGATGTCCTTTCCAGCTTTTAGTTCCAGGCAAGCAGTAAGTGATTCTTGTCAGGCAGTTATGACCTTCACTCCTCCCATCTCCTGTTACCAGCCAGTTACACCCAGCATCTGTGGTCCTCTAACACTCTCAAGCATCCTCTGTACAATGGCTGCTCCCTCTGCCCGGATCACCATTCTTGCAGACATCCACAGGGTAGCTTGTATCCTCACTTCCTTGGAGACTTTGTTCACACAGAAAATAACAAGCAACTCCTCCCCACTAGAAATTTTTTTTCCATTATTGATTTTTAGAGAGAGAGGAAGTGAGAAGGAAAGAGAGATAAAAACATTGATCGGCCGCCTCCTGCATGCCCACCCCCCGCACTGGGGATTGGGCCCACCACCTGGCATGTGTCCTGACCAAGAATTGAACCGGCAACCTTTTGGTGCATGGGTTGATGCTCAACCACTGAACCACACAGGTCAGACTGGTTATTTATTGTTTGCAAGCTCCATAGAGGCAGGGACTTAAAACCCTCAAGCCACCAATAGTGTTTGATAACATATCTGAGGTACTTAGTATTTGCTGACCAAGTGCATAAGAAAGGGGGTCAGGAATACTGGTTCTCAAAGGGCCTCACTGAAGGAGAATGGTATTTGGTGTCGTCTGCAAGGAAACGTGACTTTTATAAAGAAAAGAAGGAAGGGCCTCCAGGTGAAAAGCACAGTAGGAGTAAGGGCAAAGAGGCAGAAATAAAACTGCTCTTTAAGGACAGTAGTTGCGTCTCAAATCTTTGGAAACACCTGTAAAGACTTCCTGCTGCAACTCTCCAAAGAGGATCACATGCTAGGGCCTCTCCGGCCCCAGGCCCCGCCCCCAAGGGGCGAGGCGGGGACCAGGCGCGCAGGCTCACTTGTGCTCCGACAGCGCCCAGGCCTGTGGACCCAGAGGCCTTGTCGCGCAGTCTGTTTTGGTGGCGGCGGTGGCTTTGGCTCCGCCCTCCCGCCGCAGCTCTTCACCGTCGTCCTGAGCAGTCGCTCTGAGGGAGAAATGCCGCCGCCAGGCAGGGCCCTGCTCTGGCTAGGACTGGTCCTGGGCTCTTTCTGCGCCTCTCTAGGGTCCGCAGCGCTGGGCAATGATGCCAAAGGTGATGCCTGGGCCCCTGCCTAGATTGTGGGGCTCTCTTTCTCCCTCCCAGCTCCCCTCCATTCTTCCCTCCCTACATTTATTCTTTCCTCCTTCTCTCCCTCCCGCACAGTTTTCCTTCTTCCTTCCTTCCATCCAGCCTTTCTTCCTTCCCTCCCACCCACCCATCACTTTTTCTTTCCTCTATCTATAATTCCCCCCTCCCCAAATTATTCTTTCTGTTCCCCCTTTTCTCCCCCTTTCTCTTCGTAGGTCTCTTCCTCTCCCCCTTTCATCCAGGCTTCATACTGTAGCCAAAGCCTAACCCTGGCACCCAGTACTGAGGCTTCCTCTGTGCACTCACTCCCACCATCCCTGACTTGGTTACCTGGTTTGTCAAGGTGCAGGGTACAGCCATGGGCCTTTCAATACCCTAGCACCTACCATGAGTTGGGGTTCAGTGTCAGTACAGGTCATCTCACTGAAGCTCCACCGTCTCCTGCAGACGCTCTGAATGTGCTTCTAATCATCGTGGATGACCTGCGCCTTTCCCTAGGCTGTTATGGGGACAAGCTCATAAAGTCCCCAAACATCGATCAACTGGCATCCCACAGTCTCCTCTTCCAGAATGCCTTTGCCCAGGTATGTCTGGGGTCCTCTAGGTGTGGATGTGTTTGTGCCTTGTACACTGAGGGTTGGGAGGGGTCGCCTCAGCAGTTGTTAGATGGCATTGATTGTGTGAGGCATCTCTTTATTAGGGGGAAGCATCATTTGGAAAATGGCGGTTGTGATAACCTTTTGTCCATTGACAAGGAAGCTTGTGCTTTCAAGGGTTCCCTTTCTCCTCGAGTACAGGGTATGCACTGGCCCTGACATGCTCAGGATGGTCCTGACCAGCTTTCTTCTCCAAAGAGGGGGTTGCCTAGTCTTGAGAAGGAAGGGGTGCTGCAGAATACCACTGTCAGACCTGCCAACTAACCTCAAGTGAGTGCCAGCTAGCTTGCCATGGTGGCACCCATTCTTGATTCCCCTCATGTGGGCACCCCCAGGACCTTTGCCTGCTCTGTGCACTTGTGAGATACTATTGTATAGAAGGAGGACACAATCATCTGCTGGTTTGAGGGGCTGAGTCCTTCCCTCCCTCTTTCCTGGGAGACATTTCTGGTGACTGAGTGAGACCCAAATCCCACTGGTTGGCTTTGAGATCTGCATGACTCAGCTGCCAAGCTGTTTGCTGAGGACTCTGTAGGTTGCCTGGTTACAGTTTAGCTCCCAGACTGTTTTCCTCTGATGGCATTTCCCTCTGCTTCTGCTCCCTAACAGCAAGCAGTGTGTGCTCCAAGCCGAGTTTCCTTTCTCACCGGGAGAAGACCTGACACCACCCGCCTGTATGACTTCAACTCCTACTGGAGAGTACAGGCTGGAAACTTCTCCACCATCCCACAGTACTTCAAGGAGAATGGCTATGTGACCATGTCGGTTGGAAAAGTCTTTCACCCTGGTACTTCTTGCTGTCCAAAGTCTGGGTTATTTTTTGTTTCTTGCTCAAGTACAGGCGATCCTGTCCTGGGGTTGGGGCTGTCTTTGCAGAGACCTCTTAAGGTTGGGTGGACACCTCATTATTCACTGCTGACTTTTTAAAAAATCTTATGTCTCAAACTGGCTTTATGTTCTCACCCAAAGTGAAAAAGGGTAGAAGGAGTTTTTCTTTCTTTCAGAAACTAGTCATGGTGCTGTTTGGTTTCTTTATCTCATGGGATGGAAGGATATGCACTGGATGGGGAGCAACAATGTTGGGTGAGATTCTAGCTCTGCCTGACCCTCTGTAGCCAGGGTCCCTGTCAGTAAGTTAGAAATTAAGGGTTAGAACATCTGAGGACATCCCTTGTAGCCAGAGCTATTGCTGACTTGCCCAAGGAAGGGGCTGCTGCTTAAGGTCTGTGAATTAGGTCTGCAAAAGCAGTGTAAGCCAGTACCCAGAACCTATAGGGTGTCAGGGGCCGCCAATCCTAACTTTTAACACTGCCTGATAAACTGACTATCTTTAATGCCAAAATGAGAATGCTGAAGCACAGATAAACTTTAAGACTTTTTCTTAACTTGCAGAAAAATTTCATGATTATTTGACAAAATGTTTGAAAAGAGGAAAGTATAAACTAAATGTAAATCACTTATAATCACAGCATTCTGTTGGAGCTGTATTTTGATGACCACCCTGTTCTGGGCACATTGTTTTTCTGATGGAAGATTATTCTGTACATATAAAATTATACAGTGATTTTAACATAAAATTCTCCCATATAGTTACTCTTCATGCAAAGTGTTTTTTTAAATGACAGCACAGTAGTCTAACATACAGATCTACTGTATTTTAGTCCCAGTTGTTTTTAGATCTTTTCTGTCACACATATAGCTGAGACAAACATCTCTGAAGGCAGAGTGAATTACTGATGGGCAGTGTCACCAGGAATCCAGGTCCCTGGGTTTCAGGCACAGCTCTGCCACTTCTTAACTTTGCAGTTGACCTTGAGCAAATCATTCACCTTCTGAGCCTCAGATTGCTTCTCTGGGAAGCTGGAGTCATAGCTACTTTAATTACCTCCCAGAGGAGCATTCCAATGCTGGTAATTCAGGAGTGTGAAAGTGCATTGCAAACCAAAGCCCTGTATGGAACACTGTCTTATCATTAGGGTCAACTACTTGAATGTTTTCAGTAGCTTTCCTTTTGTTCACTGCTTACATCAGTAGGATTAGCAGCCTTCTTCTGTAACCCAGCTGGCCAGTCCAGGTTGAGGGTAACTTACAGCTGGGCTAAGCCTGGAACAGATTCGAAGGTGAATCTGTCAGGAATCATGTGCAAACCCACCATTAGGAGAACTTTCTGCAGTCAGTACTCATGTTATCCTCTTGTCTGAGTACAGCTGGAGGGAAGAGAGTTTTGGAAAGAGGAGGAAATACAGGAGAGGGGAGATTGTGTTTCAGGAAGGGAGGCCAGATATGGCCTGAGTGGTATTATTTGGCATCCTTCCTTCTGATGGTTAGATTTTTGGGATCAAGCTCTAATCACTGTGTGTTAGCTAGAGAACAAATGCTTTTCCTGCAGTCCTTGTGGAAATACATTTTTCAACTGGGTCTTTGTTCTTAAGACCTTTTTCTGTTAGTGAAGAACCTGCCAAGGATGACAACAGCTGCCATTGACTGAATGATAGGTATGTTCCAGTTATTGTGGGGGGCCGCTCCATTAATCCTCTCCTCAACAACAAACAAGGTGGATTTTTATGATAGTCATCATTTCCTCATTTCCTGAGGAGGAAATTGAGGCTCATGGAAGTCAGGTAGCTTGCCCAAGGTTACACAAGTACTAAGGGGCAGCACTGGGATTTGAATCCAGATCTCTGTCAATGGCCTTTGTTCTATTCACTATGCTCATTGTGCTGATGAGCTTTCCACCCACTGCCCCCCAGTGTGTCACTGTGCTGTTAATGCTTTCTCCCGTGGTTCTGACTGCCCTACCTTCTCTGCTCTTCCTGGGTAATCCCCATCGTTAGCATTTCCCCTCACACCCTCTGCAAGCCTTGCTGACTCCTAGAAGCCCTCACTGCCAACCATCACTGGACCCACATCACCTCTTGGCCTGTGGCCTCCTCCACTTAACACAGTATTTCTATTTTTTTGTTGTTGTTGATCCTCACCTGAAGATATTTTCCCATTGATTTTTAGATAAAATGGAAGGGAGGGAGGGAGAAAGAGAAACATCAATGTGTGAGAGACACATGAATTGGTTGATTCCTGCACAACCCCGACTGGGGGCTGGGGATCGAACCTGAAACCCACATACATGCCCTTGACTGGGAATCAAACCCACGGCCCCATGGTCCGTGGGCCGACGCTATAACTACTGAGCCAAACCAGACAGTGCAGCACTTCTACTCCAGATAGCTGGCAGTGCTTCATTGGCCTCACATGTTGCTATTTTGTCTTCCCAAATAAGCTGTTAACTACTGAGCTTGGGAGTGGGTTTATGCTTCATGGATGAGCACCTATCCTGGAGTTCTAAGACATGGGTTGGAGTCCCGGCTCATTCATGTAATATCTGGATGGCATCAGGCAGTGTACCAACCTTCTCTGAGCCTCCTCTTACCCACCTGGCCATGGTGGTGAAGATGCCACTGCCACCTCCTTCATAGGGGCAGGTGAGAGGCTCCAGTGAGGGCTCTGGAGGGCTGTGTTGCTGTAACAGGCTGACTTATCTCACCCTTTTAGGTTTCTTCCTCAGAGCTAGCATGAACTGCCAGGACTTAAGGGAGGTCAGATGCTTAGTGCTCAAATAGAAACCTAGAGAGAGTTGACTTTAGGGGGTACTTGTCATCATGTGGCCTATGCTCTTGATTTTATTGATAAAAAACAAACAAACAAACAGACAGACAAAAACCTGAGGCCCAACGAGGGGAGATGATACTTCTCAAAATGTTTACAAAGTTTTAACTTAGGGTGGGAAGGGCATTGGAAGACCCTTCATGTTTTGTTTAATGACTTTATTTTATTACCCCTCAAGGAATATCTTCTAATCACAGTGATGATTCTCCATATAGCTGGTCGATTCCTCCTTATCATCCCTCCTCTGAGAAGTATGAAAATACTAAGGTAAGGATGTAAATGGGGTATGGTTCTGAAGAGGGACCACTTTTTCTCTGTCTAGTAATTTAAGGTTAACTATTTTGTATACTGTATCTTTTTTTTTTTTTTTCAAGCTGCTTATTCATTGAGGTTTGTGGGTTTTGTTGGTAATCATAACTTGACAGATACAAGTGTTGAGATTTTGTCATTAGGTCCAATGGGGGGGGGTGGCTTTGTTTTAGAAACCAGTGGGCATGCCTTGTTCTAGAACCTTATGTTCTAGTGTGTAAGACTGATTTAATGGCTCCTTGGTGTTCATTCTGGATAAGGAAGGCTCTGTACTGAGGATTGTAGGAGTTGCCAAGAAATGGAAGGGAGAAGAGCGACCTGTGCTCTAGGAGCTTCAGCCTAGATTGAAAGAAAGGCATACCATCCATCTGTCTGTCTATCTTAGGCCTAATGGGTATGTTCAGGTGCTGAGACCTTTGATAGGATTTTTAAAATTTTAGAGCATTATGGAAAAAAGGAATATGCAAAGAAACGTAATCTTGGTTCAGATGAATCTCCAATATAAATGAAACTCAAATCCATATTTAAGAAATTCAGAAAACCAGGTGTAGGATTGAGAAATGACATGATCCTTGGATGTTTTTAGAGACATCATGTGGAGAAGGATGTGGTGTGGTGGAGAGGAGTATTTTAAATTCTTGGCAAGTTTTCATTTTAGAATACAGTGAAAGCTATGAGCTCTGGCCTTTGGCTTGAGGTTTGAATATTAACAGAATAAGATTGGAAGACAGACCTTCATTCCCTGAAGCTATCTTGATACTTTTTAGTGACCTCTCAAATGCCAGGCCCATATCCCTCACTCTGCTCATTTGTTCTCAAAGTGGCAGGTCTGACTGTAACAACTCCCCTGTGAGTCTTGCAGATCACATAGAGGGGAGCAAGTGCTGGGAGTCAGGTGCTGGACTGTCCAGCCCAGGGGTAGGATGGAAAAAGCAGCCTGTGGAAAGATGGTCCTTTTTGAGATGGAACAGTAGCTTCCACTGCCCCTGGGTCTTTTTTTTCCAACTTTTTTTTATTGTTGAAAGTGTTGCCCTGGCCGGTTTGGCTCAGCGGTTAGAGCGTTGGCCTGCGGTTCAGAAAGACCCGGGTTTGGTTCCCTCTAAGGGCATGTACCTCGGTTGCAGTTTGTCCCCGGCCCTGGTTGGTTGTGCGGGTGGCAGCCACTCGATGTGTCCCTTTCACATCGATGTTTCTCTCTCTCTCTCTCTTCCTCTCTCTCCCTCACACTCTACCTGAACAAAAAAAAAAAAAAAAAAAGGAAAAATGTCCTCGGGTGAGGATAAAAAAAAAAAAAAAAGACTAAGAAAGTGTTACAGATGTTCCCCTTTTTTCCCCATTGACCCCCTTCTTCCCCTGGGTCTTTGTGAGGTGGAAATCATGATCAAAACTGATGATGACCCTTGGCCAGCATGGCCACTTTGGGAAATGAAGCAGTAGTTTACATTCTGAACATGGTGTGGTTGAGGATCTAGGAATTCCATGGACTGTCACTTTATCTAGTTTACTGGGACCCTGTCACTTCCAAGCCTTAATCTGGCTTTGAAATTGAAGACATAAATAAAAAAAATTTTTTGAGCTATAATTCATGTACTATAAAAATCACCCTTTAATGTGTACAATTCAATGATTTTTATTATAATCACAGCTGTGCAACCATTACCAAGATCAATTTAAGATCATTTTCATTAATCCAAATAGTAGCCTTGTACCAATTATTATTCACTCCCCATTTCCTCTTAACCTCCAGCCTGTGGCAAAAACTGATCTACTCTCTTTCTCTTTGGATTTGTCTATTCTGGACATTTCATAAAAATGGAATCATGCAGTATATGGTCTTTCACTCAGCATAATGTTTTTGAGGTTCATCCATGTTGTAACATGCATCAATACTTCATTACTTTTTATAGCCAAATAGTATTCCATTGTATGGTTGAACACATTTTATTTATCCATTCATCAGTTACTGGGTATTTGTGTTGTCTACTTATTGGTTACTATGAATAAAGCTGCTATAAACATTCATGCACAGGTTTTAATATGAACTTAAGTTTTCACTTCTCAGGTAGAATTGCTAGGTCAAGAGTTTGTGTGGCCTTAGGTTTTTATTTTTTGGTATACACCTAAACATGGAATTGTTGGATCATATAATAACTCTATGTTTAACTTTTTGAGGAATCGCCAGAGTGCTTTTTAAAGCAGCTGCATCATTTCACATTCCCACCACAAACAACAATGTATGAGGATTCCAATTTCTCCAAATCCTTGCCAACACTTCTTTTCCATTTTTGAAAATTATAGCCACCCTAGTGGGTATGAGTGGGTATCTCATTGCAGCTTTGATTTGCATTTCCATGATAACTAAGGATATTAAACATCTTTATGTATGCTTATTGGCCATTTGTATGTTTTCTTTGGAGAAATATATATTCAAGCCCTTTGCTCATTTGTAACTGGCTTATTATTATTATTTTTTATTGTTGATTTGGATACAAATTTTTGTGATCATTGGTTTACATACTTGGGTTTCCTTAAATTATGACCTAGAGACAGAGGATTAACAACAGGGAGGTAAGTGTTGGTGGATTTCTGGCCCCTCCCTGGAAAAGAAGAAACACTTTTCTGTTTTTAGTTCTATTTCCTGTGTCCCTGTACTGAATGACTAATGCTTAATGGGCTGCTGATATGAATGTTAAATACATTGTGTGTGTAACATCCATGACTTCTCTTTCTTGCACTTAAAAATCTGACTTTATATATTTTGTTTTGAAAGACATGTAGGGGGCCAGACGGAGAACTCCATGCCAACCTGATTTGCCCTGTGGACATGGCAGATATTCCTGAGGGTACATTGCCTGACAAACAGAGCACCAAGCAAGCCATACAATTGTTAGAAAAAATGAAAACATCTGCCAGTCCTTTCTTCCTGGCCATTGGGTATCACAAGCCGCACATCCCCTTCAGATACCCCAAGGTGAAGAGCTGACTGAGGGCTGATCCAACACAGTCACGACAGCTGTGTTGTTTGTTAAAGGAGAGATTTATGTGGTGAAGGTGGCCACATCCTGTCATCCCTGGTCACCAGGGATGCCTGATAGCACCAGTGTACTCAACAGTGTGAAGATGGGATTCAGAGGTCAAGCCTAAGTAGAAGACTTAGTACATATAAGAATCTTGTTGGAAATGCTTGGCTTTCTACTTTCCTCCACTGGAGGGTTTTATTTCTTTTCTTTGAACTGAGTGAGCAAATGTTGGGTTGGTTGGTGAGATCATCATAGATAAGTAAGTCAGAGCTCCCAAAGCCTGCACTAGGGAATGGTCCTTGGTACACAGTTCCAGGGAATGTGAATCCCTCTTCACTAAGTGCCTTTCCTTTAGAGCCTGTCAGGTAAGACCCTTTACACAGGGCACTGCATTTCTTGTTGGGACCTGAAATCCTATGCTTGCATTAATATCATGTAGAGCTTGTAATTTCTTTTTAAAAAATATTTTTTCAGTTTTTACCTATCATGTTTTCTCTGGGCCTGAGCAGCCATTTTTTTACTTTGAAGAGAATGTCCCTTACCTGTGATGAGACGAGAAGGCATGTTCTTTGATACTGCTGATACCTTGCTTTGATTGAACCAGGAGATCTCACCTTCCTAAGAGGAGCTGTCAGCTCCCTTGATGGAGTGAGTCTCACCTTTTCTGCTGCTTGTGCAGAAAAGAGTTAACCTAGCAGGTCTGATTATCATTGTTTGGAAGTCCTGCTATGGGCTTGGCCCTTGGCTAGGAACCTGAATCTCTGAAGTGCTCTGACCATTCCCAAAACTTATGAGTGACTCACTATACCTAAACTGTTTATGCAAACCCCTACCTTCCTACTTGGAGTGGTATGTGCAGGCAGAGGATGCCCAGGTGACCAGCCCTAATAAAATCTCTAGATACTAAGGCTTTAATGAACTTACCTGGTGGCAGCATTTCACCATACATGTTATCACACAACTCATTGCTGGGGGAATTAAGCACATCCTGTGTGACTTCACTGCAGAGGACTTTGGAATCTTGTGCCTAGTTTTACCCAGATTTCATCTTTGTGGCTTTTTCCTTTGCTGGATGTGTTTGGTCTCCTTTTACTGTAATCAGTCATACCCATGGGTATGACTGTGTGCTGAGTCCCAGTGAATTACTGAACCTGAGGGTGGTTTGAGAAACTGAAAACACCTCTTCACACCTTTTCTAGTTGGAGGGGAGGTAGAGATAGGAATAGGAGGGGATGATTTGCATGAGGGAAGAGAACTGTGGTTAGTCTGTAGAAAGCAAGTCACAGTATTTCATTACCATTGGCCTTGTGGGAGTGACTTAAGGTCTGACTTTCAGGTGGGGGAAATATCTGAGTTAGTATTAGTAAAATACCATGTAAATGCATTACAGGGTTAGAGAAAAAGTAATATAAATACTGATAGAATCTCAGCTTTATGCCTTTGCCAAAAGAGTGACAACCTGGTGGCTTTGTGTGCTTTCCCTCAAGGAGTTTCAGAAGTTGTATCCCTTGGAGAACATCACCCTGGCTCCTGATCCTCAGGTCCCTGCTGGCCTCCCTCCTGTGGCCTATAACCCCTGGATGGACATCAGGCAGCGGGAGGATGTCCAAGCTTTAAAACTCAGTGTGCCCTATGGCTCAATTCCTATGGACTTTCAGGTACCAAGGACATATTTGGGAAAGTATTGGACACTATGGCATGATGTCACTGGAGATACCACTTTTCTTTCTCAGTAGATACTACTCCATCATGTCTTATGAAGAAGAACCTTTTCTGTATAAAGCATCTTTCAAAGTGCTGGGGTTAGGAGTTGTCTGAAGGCATTTAGGGCATGGAAAGTGCTGGAAAATAAAGAGTGTTACAGTCAGTGTCTCCACTTCCAAAGAAAGGGGCATCTGGAGAGTTGGGGACTCATTGTGGTGAGGAAGAGGCCTGGATGATCATCAGTAACTCATGGGGCATGTTGTTTAATCTAGGTGACAGTTCATCAGTTATGGGTTGGTGGGAAACTAGTGCGCAGCCCAGAACATTCATTTTGCTGGTACTTTTGGGACCCTCTCAGGGAAATCCAACACGGGCACACATCATTCTCAGGGGGTAGCTTGGTGAACAGGGTCTTGGAGCACAGGGAGCTGGGTTACCAACATGGCCAGTGTCATCCAGCTGCAAACTCTAGTTTCCCTTTGACATGAGGTGGGGGTGGAGCAGACAGTTAGAATCTTCACACTGATTCATCAGCTACCCTCTCCCATGCTGACCAATGCTACTTCTGGAATGTTCCACATTCAGACCTGCCCTTCTTTTACCATGTGAATACTCCAACAGGCAGTCTACAGTGGAAGGAAAAGGACCATGCTTTCAAAATATGCTTCCTGGACCACTTGCATCAGAATTGCCATGAGGGCTTGTTAGAACTGCAGCGTCCTGGCCCCACTCATACTTAGGAAACTAGAAGCTGGAAGTGGGGCACAAGAACCTGCATTTCAAAATAAAGCACACAGTTAACTTTGATGCACACAGAAGTTTGAGAACCACTTCTATAGGGTATAGTTCACAACACAATGTAATATACAAGAGTGTGGGTGGTGTGGAATGTGTTTTTCTCACATCCTGGATTTTGGATCGCAGTAGTGAGAGTTTGAAAAGCAGTAGACTCATCCATTTGTTTGGTTCCTAATTTCCATTAGTAGGGGTTCTGATAGTGAGGTTGCTCGAAATGCAGCTCCAAGGCTATACTTGGACACGTTGTTAGTACTGTTGCTTTAAAATGACCCTTTAAATGGGCTGTGTGACAGGAAGGGTGCTCAGCATTATGTGTTCTCCCTTTTGGTCTCCGTGGGAACCTAATGAGGTACCTGCTATCTGTGTTGTCCAGGTGAAGAAATTAAAGACAGAGAAGTGTGGTGAATTGTCCCAGATCACACAATTATCCATAGAAGAGTATGTAATATCAAAGTCCCATGGTTTATTTTGTTGGTTCCAAGCAGTTCTGGTTCAAATTCCTGTTCTACCCCATACCAGCTGCATCACCTCTGTCGAGTCATTTTATCTTTTGGAGCCTTAGATATCTTTTCTGTGAAATAGAAACCAGATGAATAAAGGTTTCCTGTGAGAAAACCTACTTTGGAGGTATTCAGTAGGGACTACAGAGAGCATGTGAAAGCATATAGGACAGTGTCAGTTGCCTGTTGAGGGCTCCTTCAAAGTTCTCTTGTCCTCCATTTGGTGGTATGGCTGCCCAGTTGAACACAGAGTTGAAAATGTGATCCAGAGGACCTCCCTGGAATACTCATGTACTGGTCCCTTTTTCACATTTATATGGAACTGAGGCCTTACTCATCAGCCTCTTACAGTTTTCAGGGTCTGTGCCCAAGCCCCATCACATTCAACTCTTGAGCCTCTGATTTCTGTGCCTTCTTTAGCCTCCAGCCTTCTAACTGAGCTACATGTGATACAACCACCTCAGGTTCACACTCGGGAATTTGTTTGCTCCTCCTTGGTCACCACCCTGACCACAGTATTTTTTTGCAGCTCCTGTACACCATGCCCTCATTCCTCACACACCTCCTGGGGGCTGCCTCCTCCTCTCCCCCAGTGAGTAGGCCCTTTCTGGGCTTCACACCTTCCCTGGATAGCTGATGCCCCATGGCAGGTCACTTATTGTTCTTGCTATGCACCTCAGCCATTGTCCATTTATCCTTGCTGCACCTGCAGTATCCTGATCACAGGTGTCACCTCTGCTCTCAAGCCTGAATTCTGAGGGAATCTCTGTAACAATGAAGCAGAGACACACACACCTGGCCTGTAGCCCCAGCAGTCTTGTGTGGTACAGGCTCTCTGTTCAGCTCTCAACTCTTTATGCCTCTCTGCCCCACACTCTCCTCTGCCTGGTCTTTCAGCGATGACCACACTTTCTGTTTCAGAAATGGAAGCTGATAGACAGTCTGAAGGAGGGGAATGCAAAAGATGAATGTGGGTACACATTCTGGCTGTGCTCCTTGCTAGCCATGTGACTCTAGACAAATTATTCAACCTCTCTAAGCCTCAGAGTCTTCCGTGTAAGATGGGTAATGCTCACCTTAAAAGGTGGTTTGGAGGATTACCTGGTACCAAGAAGGTATGTGGTAAATAATACTATTAATAATCTCCCTCTCCAGTAGCCAGAATTGTGCTTACATATGTACTGGGCTAGCAGTCTTCTCCCTAATCTTGCAAGAAGAGCTGCAAGGAGTTGGCCCCTCCCCAACCCCTTGGCCCATTCTTTCCATCTCTGCAAGTGAGGTCTCTTTTCCTCATCGGCTTCATTCCAGCCTTCACAGATGATCATATCCATCCCATCTTCAGAAGTTCTGCCTCTCTTTCCCCTACCTGTTTCTTCTCCCTTACCACTTTTTTTGCCTGCCCTTCAAGGGAGAATGAGTGAAACATGGTCTGTTCTTCCTGTGTCTGTGGCTTCACTGTCCATTCATTCGTCATCTGCCTCTGTGTGGTTTTCTGCTTGTCCAACTCACTAGAGAGTTCTCTCACCTGGGTCAGCACTGACCTTGTTGGCAAATAAAATCCATCCTGTTGGTGTGACTTTCCCCACGTCCTTGCTGCTTTCTCACTGTTGACCAGTGCCACCTTTTCTGAATACATCCACCTCCTGGTAGACTTCAGTCCCCATGGCAGTCCCCTCTTTCTGCATCTGCCACTTAGGAGTGCTGCTTCACAACATCAGTCCCAGGGACCCCAATGTCTCTTTTATGCCCCTCCACCACAGCCAGGCTCAGCTGAGCCCTGCAGAACTACTCCTCCAGCCTCGGCCTTACTCCTGATTTTCAGACGTGTCTATCCACTTGGCTGTACGAGCCATTCCCAGGCCATTGCCTATGGCAACTTCAGCTCTATAGGCTCTATGTGGCCATTCTACCACTCCTGCTCTTGCTTTTCTCCCTCCTCTAAATCATCTTGTGTAACCCCCATGCCATTGAATCAGCAATTGAATCATACCACCAGCTGAATGAGAAAACCTAGAGTCATCCTTGGAGTCCTCATCTCCTTCCCCTGCCTGCTCCCTCCCCTTTCCCACTCCTAATTGGTCTCCCTGATTCCTCTCAAATTTACACTGGCCTCTTGCTCTTTCGTCTCATCTTTACTGACCACTGCAGTGGATCTGGGTGTGATTTGTTTACTTAACAAGTATCTGTTGAGCCCTTCCTGTGCGCCAAACATTAATATAGTGTCATTTTTTCTTGAGCCCCTGGAATTTGCTCTGGGCTGTTTGCTGAGGAATCATGCTGACCTGCAGCCCAGACCACTTCGACTCCTCACCCTGAACATCCTCAGTGCCTCTCTTTGCCTCCAGCGTGGGACCTCCACTCCTTGGATGGGCCCACCAGGTCTGGATAATCTGGCCCTGACCTGCCATTTTAGCATCCTCCCCCACCTCCTTGCCCCCTTGTTTCATTCTCAAGCCACAGTAGCCTGGCCCGAAACATACCCTGCTCTGGTGACTCTGTCTCACACCGTGCTTTACAGCCCCTGTTTAGAGTATCTTACCCAACATTGTCTGACTACCAGCACCCCTTCTCAAATGCTAACTCCTCTGTGAAATCTTCCCTGATTTTCTCAGGTTGGCTTGAGGGCTCATTCTCCCATGTCATCCCTGGTCCCCACATGTAACATGCATTTTCTTGTCTCCAAGTCTGTGTCCTCATTCGACAGATGACTCATTAAGGGTAAGGACCACATCTGGTTTTTCCCCTATTTCCAGGGGCCAGCATAGGAAGGAGGGCATAGTCTTGAATAGGATACAGCTATCCTGACAGGTGTCAAAACTCCCCAAGTTACAGATTGAAGGCTTTTATTTAGTAGAAAGTTGAAGTAGGCCAAGTTTCAGCATAATCCTCTTAGAAGGTTGTTAGATGGATATATGCCATCTTTACCGCATGGGGAAAATAAGTGAGTCTCATGATTGTCTTCACCTGACAGTGAGAAAAGAAGACAGAGGATCCAGCTGATAAGATGGCTGGGCACAAGGTGGAAGCTGTGGCTTCTCTGATAGATCAGTAACCCCCTTATTTCTCATCCTTGGGGGTGGAGGTTCATCTTTGTATTTAATATTTGTGAACAAGACTGGGAGGGGAGTTACCCACAAGGCATGACTTCTACATCAGTGCTCAGCCTGGATACTCTCAAAGTCCCTCTTGAGTTTAGAGACCATGGAGAGTGTGCTGCTTTCTTGTCCCACCATTGCTCTCCTGCCTGCTGGGAGTTTGTTATAAATGAGGCTGACATGATAGCCACAGCCTATGAGGATAAGCAGTAGCTGTCATCTGCTGGGTTAGAAAGTGGTCAAAGAAAAGGCCCACCTACTGCTGTTATGAGTTGAACTGTGTTCCTCAAAAAGATACGTTGAAGTTCTAACCCCCAGCAGCTGAGCATGTTACCTTATTTGGAACTAAGGTCATTGCAGATGTGACAGGTTAAGATGAGTTCTACTGGAGTAGGGTGGGCCCTGATTCAGTCTGACCAGTGTCCTCATGAAAAGAGGAGAGAGATACATGAGGAAGAATTCCATGTGAAGATGGAGGCAGATATGTGAGTGCTATAACTGCGAGGCAAGGAATGCCAATGACTGCTGCCACCACCAGAAGCTGGAAGAGGCAAGATCTCCTCAAGTCTTCAGAGAGAATGGCCCTGCAGATATCCTGATTTCAGACTTCTGGCTTCCAGAACTGGAAGCTCATACCCTTCTGTTGTTTTAAGGCCCCCACTCTGTTATCCTTTGCTACAGCAGCAACAGAAAATGGATACAACTTTGGCATGACCTTCAGCAGACTTTGGAGGGACTGAGGGATCAGTTTCTGTGTACATAGTCATGTCCCAGGACCAATACGAGTATGTGAAGGAGACAGAAAGGAACAGTAAGTGGCACATCTATCTGCTGTGCCCTAAGTGAAAGCTAATCCTCTTAAAAATGAATCCTACTTATAGACTTGCATATTTCACTGTGACTCTGGGGTGAGGGGATGTAGATGATATAGAAATTAATGTTATGTTTTGGCTGAGAAAATCAAGGGCACCAGCAGAGGGGTGGTGTTTAGGAGGGATTTTCAGGTGAAAACTCTCTGTATGCTACAGCAATTTAAATCACAGTCACTCTCATTATTATTATTTTAATTTGTAGCGGAAAATACGCCAGAGCTACTTTGCCTCTGTTTCGTACTTGGATACGCAGGTTGGCCACCTTTTGAGTGCTTTGGATGATCTTCAGCTGGCCAACAACACTATTGTTGCATTTACCTCAGATCATGGTAAGCATTTTGAAATGCTCTGGTGAGTCACTAAAAGTTTCTAAACTTTTCTGTGAAATGTGCTCTTCTAGATTGCCTTAAACATAGGCATGTTCTTTTTTGAGAATCAGTGGTGCCGAATCCGGAGTCTTGGAGTGCTTGTATGACTACCTTGTGCATTTTGGGACCTCTCTCCATGACTCTGTGGGTCAGAGGAGCATGTTGGATGCTTGGGTGGTGGAGGTGGGTGGGGAGAACCTTGTATCAACTTTTTTTTTTTTTGCTTGATACTCAGCGTGAACCCTCTATTTGTGTGGGAAGCCCTTTTAATCCTCATTTCTAACCTAGAGTGTTGGAGGACTTTTTATTGGTCTTAGGAGGATCCAGAATATCCGTGATAGAACCCAACAAGGTCCTCAGATCTACCTCCACCCCTCCACCCCAGCCCTGCTGTTTGTTCTGCCAAGAGCCTAGGGTTCACAACTCTTATCTCTTCTAAGTCATTTTCCCACTTTTTCCAAAAATGGAAACACTTTCATAAAATTTCTTTTAAATTTGAAAATTGTAAACATGCCCAAAAGGAGAGGATAAATAACTCCCTGGTCTCCATCCATCTTGCTTCTTCCTAGGTATCCACTCATGGCAGTCTTATTCATCTCATCCTCACCCACATCCCTCCTCTGAATTATTTTGAAGCAAGTGTCAGGTTGCTCAGTTTTATGAACAGTAAATCTAAATTTTTGGCTTTTTTGAAGCATAACCATACTACCATTATCATACCTAGAACTAGGAAAACAATTATTTATTAACATCTAATATGAAACACAACAATATTAGAACATAACATGTGTTCACTGTAAAAAGAAAAGAAAAAATATATGGAGCATATCATATAGGGCCAGAGCACGCTGCCCTTTTATCCCATCTGCCCTGGGCTAACTGGCGCTGACAGAATGGGGTCATCTGCTAGGCTTTGGTTGTGACGCATGTGACTATGAGCTATGTGTGTGTACATATGTAATATACTAGTAATGAAACAAGGCAGGGTCCATTGTCCTATGTGTGCTGTTTTGTTCCCTGATTTGTTTTTTATGACTTAACAATGATATAGACCATTTTTCTAGTCATTTCTTTTTTTTTATTGTTGAAAATATTACAGCTGACCCTCCTTTTTCCCCATTGACACCCTCCTTCCTGTTTCCACACCCATCCTGCCTTCCCTAGCCTAGTGTCCATGTTCATTGGTTGTGTATATATGCATATAAGTTCTATGGTTTATCTCTTCCTATCCCTCCCATTCCCCATTCCACTGAGGCTTGTCAGTCTGTTCCCTACTTTCATGATTCTGGATCTCTTTTGGCCAACAGCTGATTTTGTTCATGATGTTCCACAAATAAGTGAGATCACTTGGTACTTGTCTTTCTCTAACTGGTTTATTTTTCTTAGCATAATACTCTCCAGGTCCCTCCATGTCATCTCAAAGAGTAAGAGATCTCTCTTTCTTACAGCTGTATAATATTCCATTGTGCAAATGTACCACTGCTTTTTTATCCACTCCTCTAATGATGGACACTTGGGTTGATTCCAGATCTTAGCTATTGTATGTTTGTTTGTTTTTTATCCTCACCCGAGGACATTTTTCTATTTTTTGTTCAGATAGAGCGGGAGGGAAAGAGAGGAAGAGAGAGAGAGAGAAACATCGATGTGAAGGGACACATCAAGTGGCTGCCACCCGCACGACCAACCAGGGCCGGGGACAAACTGCAACCGAAGTACGTGCCCTTAGCGGGAACCGAATCCGGGTCTCTCCGGACCGCAGGCTGATGCCCTAACCGCTGAGCCAAACTGGCCAGGGCTGGATCTTAGCTATTGTAAATAGTGCTGCTATGAACTTGTGGGTACATATATTTTTTTCTGATTGGTGTTTTAGGCTTCTTAGGGTATATTCCTAGAAGTGGGATTACTGGGTCAAATGGCAGTTCAATTTTTAACTTTTTGAGGTAACGCCATAGTGTTTTCCGTAGTGGCTGCACCAGTCTGCATTCCCACAAACAGTGTTCTAGAGTACCGTTTTCTCTACATCCTCACCAGCATTTATTGTTTGAGAATTTGTTGATGGCTGCCATTCTGGCAGGTGTGAGGTGATATCTCATAGTTGTTTTAATTTGCATTTCTCTGATGATTAGAAATGTTGAACATTTTTTCATATGTCTCCTGGCCATTTCTATATCCTGTTTGGAGAAGTGTCTATTCAGGTCCTCATCCCATTTTTAATTGGATTGTTTGTCTTCCTTTTGTTGATTTGTATGAGTACTCTATATATTTTGGATATTAAACCCTTATCTGATGTATCGTTGGCAAATCTGTTCTCCCAGGGAGTGGGTTCCTTTTTCATTTTGATGTTGGTTGCTTTTTCTGTGCAAAAGCTTTTATGTTTGATGTAGACCAATTTATTAAAATTTCTCTTTGTTTCTTTTCCCCCAGGTGATGTATCAGTGAAAATTCCACTATGTATGATTTCTGAGATTTTTCTGTCTACATTTTTATTTAGTATTTTTATGGTTTGATGACTTACATTTAAGTCTATTATTTATTTAGAGTTTATGCTTGTGTATGGTGTAAGTTGGTCACTAATTTCATATATTTGCATATAGCTGTCAAATTTATACAGCCCCGTTTATTGAAGAGACTATCTTTACTTCATCTTATGCTCTTGGCTCATTTGTTGAATATTAATTGTGCATACTGTCTTGGGTTGATATCTGGGTTATCTGTTCTGTTCTATTTATTCTGTTATATTGATCTGTAGGTATGTTCTTCTGCCAGTACCAGGCTGTTTTGATTCAATGGTTTTGTTTTATAACTTGATATCTGGTATTGTGAGCCCTCCCACCTTGTTCTTCTTTTTCAAAATTGCTGAGGCTATTTGGGGTCTTTTATGGTTCCATATAAACTTTTGGAGTGTTTTTTTTTTTTTTAGACATGTAAACTATGCTGTTGGTACTTTAATAGGGATTGCATTGAATCTGTAAGTTGCTTTGGATAATATGAACATTTTAATGATGTTGATTTTTCTGATCCATGAACATGGTATATGTTTCCACTTTTTTTATTGTCTTCTATTTAGTTTTTCAATATCCTGTAGTTTTCTGAGAACAGGTCTTTTACATCCATGGCTAAGTTTATTCCCAGGTATTTTATTTTATTTTTGTTGCAAAAGTAAATGGGATATATATATATATATATATATATATATATATATATATATATATATTTAATTTTAGTTCCCTGAGTGTTTATTATTGTTGTATAAGAATGCCATCAATTTCTGCATGTTAATTTTCTATCCTACTACATTGCCCAAATCATTTATTAAATCTATTAGATATTTAATGGAGTTTTTACAGTTTTATATGTACAATATCATGTCATTGGCAAATAATAACAGTTTTACTTCTTCCTTTCCGATTAGGATTAGATAGCCAATAAGAATTATGTTTCTTGGAAAACAATATGGTTTTACCTCAAAAAATTAAAAATTGAACTGCCATTTGATCCAGTGATCCCACTTCTAGGAATATACCCTAAGAAGCCTAAAACAACAATCAGAAAGAATATATGTACTTCCCCTGTTCGTAGCAGCACTATTTACAATAGCTAAGATCTGGAAACAGCCCAAGTGTCCATCAGTAGACGAATGGATACAAAAGCTGTGGTACATATACACAATGGAGTACTGTGCAGCTATAAGAAAAAAAGAGCTCTTATCCTTTGAGATGACATGGAGAGACCTGGAAAGCATTATCCTAAGTGAAACAAGCCAAACAGAGAAAGACAAGTATCATATGATCTCACTTATTCGTGGAATATAATAAACATAACAGTCTGAGGAATGGGGTATTCCCAGAGATGTGGAAGTGGGGTACAGACTGACAATCCCCAGAAGAGGGGGTGGTGGGGGAGAGATAAACCACAGACCTTATATGCATGTATGCATGAAAATGGACATGGACAACAAAGCTGGGAGAGGGTGGGGAGGGAGGGGGAGGGGGAAAAAGAAACATCTGTAATAAAAATGAATTAATTAATTAATAAAAAAAATTTTTTTCTTGTTTTTTGAGGTAGGCCTGTAGTGCTCTGAACTTCCCTCAAGAATGCTTTCACTGCGTCCCATAGATTTTGTGTTTTTGTGTTCATTTTCATTGGTTTCCAGGAATTTTTTTTTTTTTAATTTCTCCTTGATCTCCTTGGTAACCTGTTCATTGTTTAATAACATGCTGTTAAGCCTCCATGTGTTTAAATGCTTTTGCGTGTTTTTGTTGTATTTAACTTCTAGTTTCATGCCTTTGTGTTCTGAGAAGATGCTTGATATGATTTCAATCTTTTTGAGCTTGTAGAGACTTCATTTGTGTCCTATCATGTGGTCTATCTTTGTGCACTTGATAAGAATGTGAATTCTGCAGTTTTGAGGTGTAATTCTCTGTAGATATCTATTAAATCTATTTGATCTAGTACATCATTTAGAGTCTCTGTTTCTTTGTTAATTTTTATCTAGAGGATCTATCCAGTGATGTCAGTGGGGTGTTCAAGTCCCCTGCTATGTTTGTATTGCTGTCTTTCTCCTTTAAAATCCTCCAGAAGTTTTTAAATATATTGTGGTGCTTCTATATTGGGTGCATATATGTTTACCAAGGTTATATTTTTCTGTTGGATAGATCCTTTTAATATTATATGGTGGCCTTCATTGTCTCTAGTTGTAGCCTTTTTTTTTTTAAAGTCTATTTTATCAGATATGAGTACTGCTAACCAGGATTTTTTTCCTTTCCATTTGCTTGGAAAAAAATTTTTTTCCATTCCTTCCCTTTCAACCTATGTGAGTCTTTGTTTGCGAAGTGGGTCTCTTGTAAACAACATATATATGAGACATGCTTTCTTATCCATTCAGCTACTCTGCTTCTTTTTATTATTATTATTATTATTATTATTATTTAATTTTTGTTACAGATTTTTCTTCTTTTTCC